CTGCTGAACACAAACACCACGTCCCCTGCTGACTCCTCCGAGCTGCTGATCGAGGTGAACGGGAATGGGAAGAGACACAGTCCAGACAGGTAAAAACACCTTTCATCAGTCTGCCAAGTTCTTGAAGTTGAGACTTTTGTTACAGCTTTTGCTGCTGTCAAAGCTTCAAGCAGCATCCAGGGCTAAACCATAGGATCTTATCACTCCCAACAACTATTCTGGCTGTTAATCAGACACTGATGATTTCTCCTCCTGCACTGTGAATTCAGGTTGGGATCCTCTTTCAGGCAAGTTCTGTCCCAGGGGCACTTGCTGGGTAGCACTGAAAAGCCTGAGCTGGGGGGCTGAGCAGTTCTGCACCTTCCCAGGCGGGAAGCGGAGCCACTGTCGGGGCTGGGAAGGATGCGATTCATTTTCACCACTTTTTATTCCAAGTTAAAAATTGTTATGTAATTTATGTAGAGCATGCCTCAAATTTATCAAAACTGTGAAATTTTAATTTGGTTATGCTTAGAAAGATGAATCACAACATTTGGGGCATTTTGAACTTTTTCTTCAACAGGGTCATTGTGAGGATTTGTTCGCAAGTTGAGTGTGTTTGTTTTAACTCCCTGCCTTTACCCCCTGCTAAAATCATCGCTGCCCAAACTCTGCTGATGTGAAATCTGCATCTTTCCCTTTCCTAACATGTTTATGTGGTGCTAATGAATATCTCTCTCTGCTGGTGTGGTTACAGAAGGGAAGACAGCAGCTTTGAGAGGGAACCGATGCCAACAGAGCCTCCAGCCAAGAGGGTGTGCACCATCAGCCCCGCTCCCCGGCACAGCCCTGCTCTGACAATCCCCTTGATGAACCCTGGGGGACAGTTCCACCCCACCCCACCGCCCCTCCAGCACTACACCTTGGAAGATATTGCAACCTCCCACCTCTACAGGGACCCCAGCAAGATGTTGGAGCACAGAGAGATTCGGGACAGGCACGGCGGTCTTGGTGAGGAAGCTGGAGGATTTCTAGTTGTAGGAGCTGTGAGGTCCAGCAGTTGAGCTTTGGTGTAGGCCCCTGCTTGGCCACCGGCACCCAGAGCTGTGTAACGCTGGGCACGTCCTCAGCAGAGTTTTTGCTGGGAATTCAGAGAGGAAAAAAAACTGATCATGGGAGGTTAAAAATGGGAAGATTGAGAGTTTGTATTTCCTTATGCACATGCAAAGGCTGGAGCCACTGAGGATGAGGAGGAAGGACCCAGTGGATGAGTTGAGTACAACCAACCCACAGGCAGGAGTGGAGGGCAGGGAAATGGAAAGTAACATTTCCAAGATGACTAAATCAGGAGAGCAGAGCCTGACCCGCACCCTGTTTCTCCCCAGGGGTGTGTGGGAGGTGCACGTTGTGTTTCCAACAGGGCAGCCTGAATCACAAGCTCTGAGCCCCTGTGGGTTTATAAGGCAGCCAGCTGCCCAAGTAGGTCACATCCAGACCTGTGAGTGGATTTTAGTGCTTCTGAGACAGTGACATGGACAAGGATAAAAGCACCAGCGTGGAACTGCCCCTGTAGAACCATCTCCTTGAGATGTGTTTTAAAATCCCAGCTGGAAGTTCAGCTCCTTATTATTGCTTTGGGGCCACCTTCTCTCTCCAGCACTGAAAGCCCTCGGTCCATCTAATCACTCTTCTGCTGTGGTTTGTTGCAGGTTTGAATGGAGGGTACCAGGACGAGCTGGTGGACCACCGCTTAACGGAGAGAGAGTGGGCTGATGAGTGGAAGCATCTCGATCACGTAAGGAAGGGCAGGAGGTGTGGGAAGCTCTATGGGATGTGGCAACCTGGTGTTCCACCTGCTCCAGTTTGTGATTTTTCTTGTTGTTAGTACCATATCCAGGCTTTCCTAGTGGCTTGTAGAAGAACAAGCCACCACAAGGTGGATGGTGGGGAGGGCAGTAGCACTTTCCTGGCAGGTTTTCTCTGACCATGATCAGTGGAAACCAAAATCACTCTGGATGAAGAGTCTGGAGCTGGAGAGCTTCTGCAGAGCATGGCCATGTGCTGCCCTGCCTGTCTGAGCAACCAAACCCAACCTTGGACCCACATGGATCTTTTCTGCCACAGCCCTGACCAGCACTGGACCAAAAAGTATGCAGATGTGCTGTGTGCAGTAAGGATATGAAGCTTACAAAATAAGTAAACCCATCATTATTTATTTTTTAAAGACACTTTTTCCTGAGGTGCCAACCTTTTATGGACCTCAACCAGACACTGACAGCAAGAGTTGATACTTCTGGCAGACTTTCTGCAGTCAGCTTTTTCCCTCTGAGCAAGGCTGCTCATCCAAGCACTTCACTGGAGTGTTTTTCCAAAGAGATGGGATTGAAATTCAGCTTTGATCGTAAATGCAGAGAGACCTCATCATGCTTGTTTATGCTCTAAAGCTGATGTTTTTTTGGAGGGTGAGGGATGGTGGAGTAGAGCTCTTATAGCTGAATACTTGCATGTTGGGATGTGGGTATGATGAGCTGGCACCAGGATCACAGCCAACCCTTGCCTGGGCACCATACTCCTATAGGAAAGTGGTGGGTTTTTTTCTGTCCACCTTTAGGAGCATGGTCTTGAAGGTGTTTAGGCACCTCCTGTGGTGACTAACAGTGGAGCTGTGACCACCTCTTTCCCACCTGGTGCTGTTTGAATACTGCATCATCTGAAATCCCCTGCTCAGAGCCTGTTCCTGTGGAATGACCTCATGTTTTCTCTTTTCCGGGATGGTCCCTCTGTGGTGCCTCCTCCGACAAGAAATTCAGGAGACAACTTCATGACCGAGACCGATGTGTTCCTCCCCTGCAGGCACTGAACTGCATCATGGAGATGGTGGAGAAGACGCGGCGTTCGATGGCCGTGCTGCGGCGCTGCCAGGAGGCCGATCGGGAAGAGCTCAACTACTGGAAGAGGCGGTGCAGTGAGACGGCCGAGCCGCGCAAGGCGGGCAGCGAGCTCATCTCCAGGCAGCACAGCCCCAGCAGCTCCGACTCCATCGGCAGCGGTAAGTGAGGAGTGGGTGTGCTCTGCCAGGGCCTTTTTGAGTAGGTGTCCAATACATGACACAGTTCCCCTGGAGAAAAAGAAGCTGAGGGAGACCTTCTGGCTCTGTCCAAGTCCCTTGGAGGAGGGTGGAGAGAGGTGGGGGTGGGTCTGTTCAACCAAGGACCAAGTGACAGGACAAGAGGAAATGGCCTCCAGTTGCACCAAGGGCAGTTGAGATTGGATGTGAGGAAGAATTCTTTGCTGAAAGGGTTCTGAGGCATTGGAAGGGGTTGCCCAGGGCAGTGGTGGAGTCCCCATCCCTGGAGGGATTGAAGAGTCGTGTAGACACAGTGCTGAGGGACATGGGTTAGTCGGGGACTTGTCAGTGTTGGGTTCATGGTTGGACTCAATGATCTTAAAGGTCTTTTCCAATTGAGGCCATTCTGGGACTCTGTGACTGTGACAAAGCTATATTAGGTATAAAACGATGAGAATATATCCAAAGTACAGTATAAATTAAATAGTTAAGCAGTGCATAACTGTTCTCAAAGCTTTGAAGAAGGACATGTCATTGGAGATGTGGAAGCTCCTGGGTAAGCTCCTGGAAGCAGCATTTTCTAATGTCTGAAGGCACCTCCAGGCAGCAGCAGCCTCTGCTAGTGTCAGGAGAAGAACATCGTCCTTCTCACTGAGATGCATTTGCTGACCAAACCGAGTCAAGTTCACCCACAGCTGAGAAACCAGGGGGTGAATAGGCAGGAGAGGTGGTTGGTTCCACCCTTTTTCCCCTTGAGCTCAGTCTTGCTTAAAGGATTTTAAATGTCAAGGTCTCCTAATTCTAAAAATACCAAAGACTGCTGTAAGTGTAAGAGCTGCTACCTGACTTATTAATTCTATTTTTGTATCATGAGTCAACTTAACTTCATTAAAGCTGACTATTCTTCCCCTCCAATATACAGGGGTTTTAACCCTCTACAAAAAACAAGTCTAAAATGCTGATTTTATTCTTTTGGACATAATGCTAATTTCCATCCAAACAAATATGCTGCAGATCAAATGCTGGGGAAAAAAGACAAACAAACAAACAAAAAAACCAAACCAAAAACCCAAAAAACCACAAACCTTGATCATTTGATAATAGAAATGGATATTATCTAACAATAAGAATAAATGTCAAACTGAAAATCTCAATTTGATATGTATTCAACTTGTTTATATACAAAATAAACAGTGAATCCTCCTGCAAGGAAAGCAAGTGGGAATGTTGTTGATTCTCCCCTCATGGGACCTAGGGCTAATTTTCAAGCTTTGTTGCTGTTGTGAGAAGGTGCATTTGGACATCAAGAGGTGTCCCCAGGTGTGCCATGGGCTTAAATAACCCCACCACCTTCCTTGGGTGCTTCTATTCCCCCACCAGCCTTTGACATGATTGTTTTGGGTTTTTTTTTTCCTGACCCTTCAGAAAGTTACTCTGAAGCCTTAAAAAAGGGCATGCCGATAGAACACAGAGAGAAGCTTCTGAAAAGCTTCCCTGTGTGACTGTAGTTTGTTTAGGTCCTCGTGTGACCATCCTCATTTGTCACTTAGGCTCTTTGCAGACGGAGGGGTGCTGGGGAATGTACACTCTTGCTGTCAGGTCTTGTGGGACAGTTTGTCTGTCAGTTCAAGCCTTTGAATTGCCCCTGGGAGCGGGAGGTGCTGCCTTTTCTGTCAGCTTCTGGTCATCTAAATTGATGCTCAAAGTCGCTGGGCAGTGCAGGTGTTTGAAGGCACATATTGCCTGTTGTTACAGAGTACCAGGAGATGGAAGTGGATTATACAGTGTCATAAATTTGCACGGCGCTAATTAGAAGTTGTAATTTATCATCTTGAGTGTTTGATGAATGGCTTTGACTGTAGGAATCCTCTGCTTTGAGTTTTAGCTGCTCAACTCTCCCCTGCCCCATGATGTACCGAGGTACTGCTGAGCACTTCAGCAGCAGTCAGGTGAGACGAGGCTTTGCCAACCTTTCCCTCTGTCCCTTATCCCAGCAGATTCCTTGCGGGAGTTCAGCAGCAGATCAGGAACAGGCTATGTCACTGAAGAGATATGGAAAAAAGCTGGTAAGTGTTTTCTAGTGACCTGCTGATGGCAGGGGGGTTGGAACTGGATGAGCTTTAAGATCCCTTCCAACCCAAACCAGTCTGTGATTCTATGACCACGGTGGGGGCTGCTGCTGGATCGATGGAGATAAACACAGATGCTGCAGATGTGCTCTGTGGAAACTGGAGAAGCCCAGCTGCAGGAAAGCCCCAGGATGTACACATCTGCCTCCTGATGCCCCTGGCCTGGGTTTTCCAAAGGGCTCTGCTCCTTCTGTGCAATGCCACTGGGGATCCCGTGGGGCCGAGCCTGACCCTGCCGCTCCCAGGAGCGGTCGTGATGCTGGTGCTGACTGTGTCCCTTTGTGCCACCCCCTCCCCATGGGCATCCCAGCCACAGGCAACATTGTCCCGATGTCCCTGTCACCCCTCAGAAGCTGGTCCTGCTCCTGGGGCAGGTGGGTGAAGCTGCTCTTTTCTTCCAGAAGAAGCTGTGAATGAGGTGAAGCGCCAGGCCATGTCGGAGGTGCAGAAAGCGGTGGCAGAGGCCGAGCAGAAGGCATTTGAGATGATTGCCTCTGAGAGAGCTCGGATGGAACAGACCATCGCGGACGCCAAGCGCCAGGCCACTGAGGATGCTTTCTTAGTGATAAACGAGCAGGAGGAGTCTACAGAGGTAAGGTACTAGGGGACAGCCTGGGAGGAGACTTCAAAGTCTCCAGGTCTTGCCTGGTGGTGACTCAGAGCTTGCAGATCCCCTCTCCCTTTTCCTTTCAGAAGTCTCTCTCTAATTAATAGCTAAAGGGATGCATTGATACCATAAAAAAAACCAAAACCCTTTTGCTTTTTGATTTTTCTGGCAGGGAAATTGGCCTAAACGGTGTCTACGGCACCTGTGCACGTGCAACAGCCACGTGAAGGCACCACTGGGCACCGTGAGCTGGACCCAGTGTAATGACCAGGGATTTCTTTGGATCGAGGGAGGTGTGGAAGTGAAGGAAAAGGGATGCTGGTGGATGCAGCTCAGAAATCTGTTTGTGTGGGGTACTTGATCTGTGCAGAAAAGGAATTGCTGTTTGTGGGCTTTAAAATAGCGCAGGGTAGAAACCAGGCTGCAGGTGAAGCTACATGTGCCTGATATATATACCTATATAGAATCATAGATATATATATACACACACACACACACACACACACACACTCTCTATACCACACCTGCTATATATATAGAAAATACATATATACACATACTCTGTATCCCATGCAGTGTCAGTGCAGACCAGCCTGGTGTGTATACGTTGTCTTGGGTGTTGTTTCACTGGCTCCCAAAACACGGGCCAGGACACTGTGTGGTCACCATGTGGTCACCTCATCTGCAGGAAAAGGCTCCCCAGCTCTCGGTGTGATGCTCTCATACGTACAGGGATAGGTGGGAAGTGTCCGTGGTGAGGGGTGGCTGGTGTCCTTGCAGTATGGAAATCCTGGTAACACCTAATGAGACATCTGCACCTTGGAAAAGAAGGGATGACTCCTAGTTTTTCAAAGCCAGCAGCAGCTGCTGAATGGGTGTCTCTTAGAGAATTTCTTTCTACTCCTCAATCATTAATCACCTTTGTCATTCCTTAACTGGAAGCTCCCTTTGTGAAGCTTTAGAGGTCTCAGCTGGACTGGGCAAGGAGAATTGCATGGCTCGTTTCTGTGCTGCCACGTCCCATCCACATGTGGTTTGCTTCTTGTTTTAATCTCTCTGCACAAATGCAAGAGCAGAGGCTTTGTTTCTGCCGAGCAAAAATCTGATGGGAACGTGGAGTTAATGTCCACGGGTACTGTGCAGGCAGCAAGTTCATTTCCCTCCTCCTGGGGGGTTTCTGTCCCTGCTGCTGACCAGGGCTCAGGAAGGTCTGGTGCTGGGTCCCTGTGCATGCAAGAACCATGTAAATATTAGGTGCTGTTACAGAGAAGTGTGTCTGTACTCTTTCCTGATTAAATCACTGAAGGACGAATGCACCAGTCAGTAAACACATGATGGAAGTGGGTGGAACTGCTCAGGGATCCGTGGAAGAAATGAGACAAGTAATGATTTCTCCATAGGGGAATGAATACCAGAGGAGTATTGCCTCAAGTTGCACCCAGGGCAGTTGAGATGGGATGTGAGGAAGAATTTCTTTGCTGAAAGGGTTCTGAGGCATTGGAAGGGGTTGCCCAGGGCAGTGGTGGAGTCCCCATCCCTGGAGGGATTGAAGAGTCATGTAGACATAGTGCTGAGGGACATGGGTTAGTTGGGGACTTGTCAGTGTTGGGTTCATGGTTGGACTCGATGATCTTAAAGGTCTTTTCCAATTGAGGCAGTTCTGGGATTCTGAGTGTCCTCCTCCTCCAGCTGTCCCGGGGAGCAGTGTGGGACCTTGGGAGCAGCCAAGCATCACCCCCTGCCAGCACAGGCCCATCTCTTCAGCACCCAGAGCTCTTCTCTAAAGACCACGTTGAGAAGCTGTCACATATTGTGGCACATTTTGTAACCTTTGAAATACAGTTTAAAAACATCACGTGAAAAGCAAACAGCTGTAAAGCAGTGACCCAGTTTTCCAAGAGTAACCACAGGCTTTGCTGGGGGCTTCTTATGGTCACAAGTCCTACTCCTCTCTGGGGACTGAGGAGGCTTGGGGACATGCTGGCTCTGGAGCAGCTCACTCCCAACCAGCTCACTTTGGCGCTTTGCTTCCAGCCTGTAAATCATCACCAGGAGCTGGTGGCTCCGGTGCAGACCCCAGGAGTGGGGAATCTCACTGCCCCTTCCCCCCAACGGGGCTTTTGGATACGGTCCAGCATCTCCCACCACCCCGCTTTCCTGCTTCGACAGCTTTTTGCTTGTGGTCATAGACACAGTGACCAGTGAAAGGTGTCCCGTTGGGCAGGCACTCTCCAGAGGAGGCTTTTTATTCTGCAGCTGAACTTGCCCTCCCCACTCTGCGGTTGCTGAGGCCCGAGTCCAGCTGCAGGAAAGCTAATCCACCCGCTCCCCTCCTCGGAGCAGCTGCAGCTCCTGGCGCTGGCCCCTTGCCCCCCGCTCATGAGGCAGCAGTGACACACCGTAAGCCACCAGCTGACACCTCTCCCGGCGGCCAGAGGGGCTTTGCTTAGCTTCCAGATTGAAATTCAGGCTCTGGCAGTGCTTCCACCTGGCTTGGGAGGCTTTCAAATGAGCTTTTTCTTTTCCAAATTAGCCCGCTCCGACCTCCTGTGCAGCTAGGCAGGGTGCAGAGCAAATGGTGCCTGCACAGCACGCTGTAATCCCTGCGGAGAGCACTCGGCTGGGAGCAGAACCAAAATAGAGCTGCTTAAAACAGGGAAGAAAAAGACCCAATAGCAGCATCTGCAGCCTGTTTTTTAGTCCTTGCCTGTTGTTTCCTCTGTGCGTTTGGGTGGATCTAGGGGAGAGGATGTGACCGGTGCAGGCTGGCAGGCAGTTTTGGGCAGAGCAGTTAGGAGTTAGTACCCTTGGCAGAGAGTTGTGAAATAGCAGGAATTAATGGACTGCTCATTTTAATATTACTAAATATGGGCCAAAGGGGGATGAACAGTCTCCTCCAGAGCTGTTAAGTCAGCACCATCCTGTAGCTCTCAGAAACTATAAACCCATTTTAAAGTCTTTGGTGTCTTTGGTGTTGCAGAGCTGCTGGAACTGTGGTCGCAAAGCCAGTGAGACGTGCAGCGGCTGCAACATCGCCCGGTACTGCGGCTCCTTCTGCCAGCACAAGGACTGGGAGAGGCACCACCGAATCTGTGGCCAAGGTCTGCACGGCCAGAGCAAGCCCCTGGCTCTCGCCGGGCCCGCTCGGCCGGCCGCTGCTGCCAAGAGCCTGGACGGTGTGCCCAGCCCGGCCCTCGAGAAGACTTCGGCAACCACCTCTCGGTCCTCCACCCCGGCATCTGTGACAGCAATAGACACAAACGGGCTCTGAAGGGGAAGGTTTGCTTCAGTCCATTTGATTAATTTCCCTGAGGATTTTTTTTAAACTGAAAAAAAACTCCCCCACAGCAACTTGTATCACTTGCCACATTTGACACATCCGCACCACCTCCTCAGAGCACCGACACTCAGGCTTTGCCATCTAGTTCTGCCTTCTTTTTCTCGTGGCTTATGAAGAACTGAGGCCAGCCTTGCCTGCCCTCTGTGCCCGTCTCCCTGCAGGGAGGGTATCAGAGCATCGTTTGGGACCTGGAGAGGCCAGGCACTCGCTTGGGGAGACCTGGACTCGGTGGAGAGCGCTGCTGGTGCATGTGGGAGATGCTGAGCCCTGTCTTCATGGGTTAAACATGCTCAAGCTCCTTTCCTGAGGTGTCTGAGCCACCTCCTCCTTCAGCTGCCTTTCTTCCACATTATACATCTATTTTTTTCCCTTGCTCCCAGACAGCGGTGTCGCAGATGGCCGTGCTGGCTGGTCGTTGCTGTGAACAGACCGGAGCCACTTTCCTAGCAGGAGCATCTCGTCCTCTAGTGCAATGGCAGAAGCCGAGCCCTCTTCTCTTCTCCTGCCTGCAGGTTCGCAGCTGATGGTTGCAGAGAGAGAGGAGAGGATTCATCTGCTCTAAACCAAATGTCAGTACCAGGGAAGTACGGCTGGTCACTTCGGGATGGCCCGTTCTGTGATGGGACAGACAGTTGCACGTTACCCTGGATGGGACCTTTGCTGGGGGAAAGCACAGAGTGAATCTGGATTCGTTGCGGGCGGTTATTGCCCTTTCCACCCGGGTACTGTTAGTTTGCTGTGCAGAAAGTGGTTGGTTTTTGGGTTTGTTTATTTTTCACTGCATGGAAGTTGTTGGTTTGAGAGTTACTGCTGTTGTTTTTAACCACAGAGATCCTCACACAATTGCAGTGGGTTATTTATAGTCTCTTCTCTCCATGCACGTTGGCCAAACTATGAAAACAAATACAGGACGTGGTTTCCTACGTCGGTTCTTGCCCCCCAGCCCTGGGGAGCTCCCGTGGTGCTGCTCCCACGCCGGCTGCGCTCCTGTCCCTGGCGATGCCCAGGGATGCGCAGCCACCGCTGCCTCGTGCAGCCTTCAGAGACCATCCCAAAAGCACAGAGGCTCAGAGGGATGTCCCGTGGGGATGCTATGGTCAGCTGGGGAGATCCATCGCTCAGAGAGTCCCGGCTGTGACATGGAAGGAGGGATTTGGGGCCGTGCAAACACGATCATCCACACCGACCCACGGAAGGGCTGTTCCAGAGCTCATCTCGGATGCTTCCTGGAGGTCACCAGAGGCACAGCCACTGGGAGGGATGGGCACGTGCCCTCTGGAGAGCTGCACCCATTTCCCATGCCCATACAAACAGGCTTGAGTAAACCATCTATTCAGCAAAGCCGGGTTTCCGTGACTGTTTTTGTACGACTGCTGGGCTGGAGCCCAATGAGGCGAGTAATTCCCAAATTATTTTTGATTACTTTTTCAATTGGAGGCAAATAATAGAGATGTAATGAATCGTCAGTGAGTCTGCAGTGGTGCTGCTGGCTGCCTGGGGATAAACCAGCTTTGTCCCTTAGGGAAAGCTGTTTCTGAAGCTGCTGTCGTGGGATAGAGCTGGTGATTCCCATGTCTGCAAGGTTTTATTTTGCAGAAGAAGCCACGACATTGCCTGGTCATGACAGCACTCGAGTGGCAGTTGGGACTGTCCCTCTCCTGTGTCCCCCAGGAGATGGTGGCAGGGTCCTGGCTGCTGCAGAGCCCTTTGCACGGACAAGGGGACAAGGCTACTGGGAGCTGAACGTGTCAGTGCTGGGCCATGGAGCTGGTGCGGCCCTGAATGGAGGTGGTACCTGCAGCAGTGGTGAGGCCACAGTGTCACCCAGCCCGGAGATGTGGGGTCAGCCAGAAGCTGCAGCAGCCCCGTGCTGCCCCAAAGGCCCCGGGGAGCGGCTCTGTCCCGGCTGCTTTGGCGGTGGCCAGGGCTGTAGCCGGGAGGAGGACACTGTGTGGAGCAGGGAGGAGCAGCAGCAAACGCTTTGGGTTTCTGAGAGCACCGGGGCAGGGGGCTGCCCCTGCACCCCCACCCCTCTCCCGGGGGCTGAAGGGACAGGGGCAGATTCAGCGCAGCCTCAGGTACATCAAGTCCAGGCACCACATCCCGGTCCTGCCCGCGCACGGGGGGGGTCAGTGCTGTGAGGTTGGACAGGGAACGAAGGGCAGGGCAGGGCTGGAAGAAACTGCTTGTAAATAGACTGTCTTCCATAATTCTCATGCAATTTTGATGGCCGTGTACTAAAATTAACCCCAGTGTAAATGAATGAAATACTAACAGTCATTATTAGAATGATGGCTTTTTTCTTTTTTTTTTTTTTTTTGTTTTTTTTTTGTTTTTTTTAAACATGGAATGATAAATATGAAATTCAGACAGGGGAAGACCTGTTGGGTTGAGTTTTCTATTTCTATTTCTTTTTTCTTTTCTTTTCTTTTCTTTTTTTGACATTTAATTCTGTAATAGAAATTTGTTACTTCATTCCTGTGCATAACTTATTTAATGTACTGTAAAAAGGAACCCAAAGTGTTACAGATGTATTTAGTTTGTTCTACTCAAAAAAGTAGTCAATAAAGACTATATTCATCAGCCAGGTTTCCCCCTTCCTCTCTCAGAAGGAGCAGAGGGTGCTGCAGGGGACAAACTGCAGGCAGAGCTGGCACCCAGCCCTGTACATGGTCAATTTAATTTGCTTTGGGGTTGTATTTAAACACATTATTTTCTAAAAGTGCTTTGGGTTTGGTTTTGCTTTTGTTTTTTATTTGAGCTCAGCAGAGCCTGCAAGGTGCTGTTATAGCCCTGCAGCCCCTCCAGGAGGGTGGGGGGAACGGGCTGGCAGAGCTGCCTTTGCCTGAGCTGAGGATTTTGGTCTCTGGGCCACTGAAAACTCATCAGGTGGGTGAAGCAGAAATGCAAAATTCAAGGCCAAACCCCCCACTAGTTGGGGGTGGCCAGAGCCAGTGGCTTGGGAATCGGTGCCCACTGTAGCTCTGGCAGCCGCAGCTCCCTGGGATCCCAGGCACAGCTCGTCCTTTCCCCATGGCCCTTCATATGCTGCTCCTGGGGGGACACAGCCCCTGGCCTGGCAGAGCTGGGGGCCCTACAGCTGCCTCTGCATGGGCTGGAGCCGCCACTGCTGCCCTGTGCTCATGGCAAAGAGCTTTGGCTGGGGAATTGGCAGTTAATCAATAACCAACGATAATCAGGCACTGGGAGGACACATCCTGGGTGGGAACTGGGTCAGGCTGAGCCTGCCATGGGGGACAGTTCCACAAGGCTGATCTGCACTGGCAGCAGCTGTCCCCCTCCTCAAACAAAGGGTTCTCCTGAGCCCATCTCTGCAGAGTGCTCTGGGTCCCCCTC